AGCAAAAAACCCAAATTTTTTTAGCCAGCACAGCAAGCCCAACTGTCAAATTTTTGTAAGGCAGCAAAGGAAGCCCAAAACCCAAATTTTTTAGTTAGCACAGGAATCCCAAATTTCAAAAATTTTCAACCAGCACAGGAAGCCTAAAACCCAAATTTAATTAAGTCAGCACAGAAAGCCCAAAACCCTAATTTTTTTAGCCAGCACAGGAAGWCCAAAACCCAAATTKTTTTAGCTAGCAGAGGAATCCCAAATGTCAAATCTTTTTTAGCCAGCACAGGAAGACCAAAACCCAATTTTTTTCAGGCAWGACAAGAAGCACAAAAACCTAAATTTTKTTAAGGCAGCACAGGAAGCCCAAAACCCAATTTTTTTAGGTAGCACAGGAAGCCCAAAACCAAGTTTATTAACCAGGAAACACAGAAAGCCCCAAAACAACACAGGAACCCTACAAGCAAGAGATTTTCCAGGTAAACCAGGTAGTCCAAATCTTTTTAAAAAATTCTAAGTAACCAAGGAAACTCATAACTAAAATTTTATACAGGTAGCATAGCAAGCCCATAACTCAAATTTTTCCACTAAACACAAAAAACACAAAACCAAAACATGTTTAAATAAATATAACCCTAAAACCAAGAACGTTATTTAGGAAGCACAGAAAGCACAAACCAGATAACAAAGAATGCACAAGCTAAAAATATTTTTCAGATTGCACAGGAAGACTGAAACCAAAAACAATTTTAGGTAGCATAGAAAGCTTCAAAGCTGAAATATTTTACAGTTAAAAAGTTAAAAATAATAAATACAATAAATRTTTCGCGCTTTGTGCTAGAGATTATCATACGATAATTATTTACAGTTATAATCAAAACCAACTCAAAAAAACACTATTTCAAAAGTAAAATAGAAAGCTTACACTATCGATTTACGCATTTTTTAGTTGTTTTTGAATGACAACTTTTAATTATTATTCTTTTAATAATTTTTAATTACCATAATTTTCAAAAAGTAAATTCTTTGTTATTTTGTAGTACAAAAATGTCTGATAATGCTATTCAGACTAATTTATTTATCAATCTTAAGTAGATATTAACTTTAAGAAAAATTTACGGAGTGTTAGTTTTCTGTTATTGAATAAAGCTCTTTTAATGTACTATAAATCACGGAGTTTTTTGTTAAATATTTTTWAAACCTTTTAAGGTATAATTTATTTTTTGATTCACATTTAAATATGTTCAAATTGAGTACTTTTTATTCGAAACCTCTTGATGCATTTTATAACAACAACTGTTCGATAATGCTGTTTCAAGCATGTTCAAATGTTTAATAAATGATATTAAAAAGAATTTAGTATACAGAACATAAGTTTTACGTGTCTATTAGGAATTGTTTTTTTGCACATACTGAAACATATTTTGTAAGTGTTTTGTTTTTTGAAATGCTTTTTCGACAAAGTTAATTTAAACATGTTAAAACATCTTTGAACATGTTAACATACCAAACAATTTATTATTAACTTGAAACTGTTGATAAAACCGTAAATGTTTTAATTTTTAACCGTAAAACTTATATTGCTTTTCAAAGATTCTTTTTGTTTGGTTTCCAAGTTTTTTTGACATATTAGTGTAATTTGTCCGTGAAAAAAGTGAAAAAAGCCATAACAGCGTGTTTTAAATACGAATTAAAAACCGTTTTTACGTTTTTAGGGTATAACTTTTAAATAGTTATCTCATGGCACGTTTTATAAACAAAATGTGGAAAGCGCTGAAAAGAATTTACTGTACGGGAAKTAAATATTCTGTTTTGTTAACAAAATTCTTTCATGCACATTGGAAAGATCTGTTCCACATATTACTTTGTTTTTAAAACATTTTTAAGTAGACATTTTCGATTTAGCGGCAAATGAGCGGAATAGGCATGTACTAGCGGATAAGCATAAACCAGCGGAATAAGGCTAGAATCATCGTTATGACCAGAAAATTCAATAAAATAATGAAACAGCTTTCAGTAGACCATTTCTATTTAACTTAAGGTATTGCACAATTAATATCTTTAACACTACCTGTTTTATTAGCTTAACTGACGAGCAGTGTGCTCGAGAATAARATCTCGTCCCGTTGAAACGCATTTATATAAAAAAGTTGCGTTTATAATATACTAATGTAAATGCTGGCCCTTAAATTTATAAAAGGACTAAGAATGCTAGCATATAATGTTGAATACCACGACGGTTATTATTTTCGAGAAGTTTTATTTCTGCATGGACACGTACGTATCGCTAACATATAGTTGAAATGTGGATGCCTACTGAGATTGTTCACTGCCTGTAAACACTTACTAACTCTTTACCCTCTCCTCTGTAGGGAAAATCAGGATTTTATTCAAGTTCTCTGTTAGTTCTTCTACAGTGGAAAAGGCTGTGCACATAACCAATGCGTTGAAATTCAGAACAAAACAAGATATTTGAGAGATTCAGCAAACATCTCGTGTTGTCKACAAACATTTGTGCTACGCAAACGAAAAAAAAGCAAAAAGAAGTTGAAAAGCTTTTCAAGAAGCAATAGATAAATAAGGAAATAACCTTTGTCTTTGCTGAGAAGGTTTCTAAAAGGTACTAGTTAAATTACAGGGAAAGAACAAAAACCTGCTTATGCCGGCCAGAAAAAACGTGATGCTTAATGTCTATTTATTAATAACGTGAACAGAACTCATAAAGCCTATAAGGTGCTAGTCTTCATCTGACGAAGAATCTGTCACGTCAAGACCATGGACTGCCCTCCAGCTTTTTAATGCTTTCTGGTGCTCTCATGCAGCACTTTGAGGCGCATCAAGAACGGCGGGGATTGCTTYGAGTAAGCTGTCCAGTTTTTTCTCTCTGGTGACGTGGGAGTTCCTAGATGACTTCAGCTTTTTACTTGACTTTGAGCTTTCATTGAGAGGTCTTTTCCTTAAAGGATAATWGCAAAATAAACGAGGTTTAATTATAAAATAGGTTTGAGAAACGTTTAAAGTAAYTCTGTCTGCTTATAAATTACCTGTTTKCCATCCTCTCGCTTTGTCTTGTTTTCTTGATTCGTGTAAGGATGTCAGCAGGGTCGTCATTTGGTTCGTTCTTTTCTGCATCTAACACATAATTTGTTTCGCGATCATTGATAGCTCTGCAAATGTCTTCAACTTCTTCAGTATCTTTATTACAAGTTTCTTTCACACTGGATGCGGACGAGTATTCTTCATCAATTATTTTATTTGACGTGCTTGCTTCACTGGCATTCCTACTAGGAAATAAAAGAATCATCGCACTCCATATAATACCGTTATTGAGAGTCCTTTCTTCTTTGGTCAACCGCATTCTTACCTTGAAGGAAGAGCGTTGTTAAGCAGTTTAGTACYTCTCTTCCTTAATCGCTCCTGCAACACTTGGTTGGAATTTCCTTCTGCCAAATACTGATCACCTSMTTCTCCCAAAACCTCAACATGCCTTCTCATAAAACTCAAAACGCTTTTCCACTCTCTTCCACATGTTTGCACAGCTTGAAGAAGAAGAGTATCTTCGACTTGAGTGTAGTTTTTTCTTGGTTTTCTTTGCTTTTTGTTGTCCATCGCGCCTTTCTCACAGGATTAAGAAAAGTGAAAAGAGCCCTAAAAATTTGCACACGTGCACTGGTCGCAATGTTTGTTTAAAATATTTTTGTTTGGTTTCGTGATTGCGAACGAAAAATTTGCATATATGTTTAATACACTAMCTGTTTGCGTCAGTCAGCAATGGATGTCCCACCTTTCCCAATGTTTATTGTAGTAACCCTGCTGTCTATCTTTGCAGCTATAAAACTGAGTCTTCAAAGACCACAACGTTTGGTCCCTWTATTTCCTATGCATGTAATAGGGATCCTGCTCATCACACTCGTTGCGCTTGTCTTTACGGCACCAACGGGAAATAATCTACTAGCCCGACTTTTTGGCAATCRGCTGCTTAACCATCGTAACAGTGGCAGAGTTGTTTATTGTTTAGCACGAAGACATCCACACATCTTTTGGTACATGACCGGGGAAACACTAGAATCCTTTGATGCTATCGTACGAAGAATTGGTATAGAAGTTACCAGTCCAAGACACACACCTYGGGTGCCAACTACAGGTAGAAGAAGAGTTTGTAATCTTGACTTATAGAGGTGACAAAAAGTACCATTTTATGAGTACACAACTAATTGTTGACGCAGATGGTTTGGTAGTACTCCTTGTAGCTDGGTACGTTTGCTATATAGTAGCGTTGTCATGTTGTGCTTAAGTATTTCGATCTAGCTGCTATTTTACTGCATATATAAACAAACACAAACATAAGCAAAATTTAGTACTACACGTATTCATAGTAAATAAACGTCTTGCAGATTTCCGGGGCATATGAACGATGCGGAGTCATACAGACRACTTCCTGCTATAGGCCATGGAAGAAGAAGGAATCTACCACGACGAGCAAGGCTGCTAGTTGATGGGGGATACGCTAACACCCCACCTCTTATCCCTTCAAGGCGTATTGCTTACAACAGACGACAACAGAATGCCAACAGAGCGCTAAGGTCGCTTCGTATCCGCGTAGAGCACGCCATKKGATTCCTGAAAATGTACTCAGCGACGTCGGATATTTTWCGACACATAAGGCCATTTCAACCCTTTGTAATAGCAACTTGTGGTGCTCTTGCTAATAGAAGGAAAAGAATTCTAAAAACACTGTAATGTTATATATGTTCTTTTTGATATACTTTTCGGAAAAGTAAAACAAACTGGCGTAACACATGTTTATATTAGTGAGAGCAGAAAAATTCCTAGC